GGGGGCGATATGCTGACTCTGTAAACCGCTTAGAGAGGGCTGAAAGCCCTATGAAGCGGTATATAAGTCTAACTGCTATTGCTATTGCTATACAACATGCTAATTTACTTGTTCATTTATTTGCTCTGTAAAAAAGCTTGGCAAGAATAATAATATCATCCAAGATTTATACGTAGTGAGAATCCATCTGATAGGATGTTACCTGACCTGGTTTAATACATAGCCTGCACACGGCCATTATGCCTTTTCAAGGAAACTAGGACTGACAGGAGTGAAGCAAACCAGGATTTGTAAACATGAAGTTTGTTTCCTATTTCATTTGGATCCTGGTGGATGTAGCCTCCTTTTTTTTAGGCATAATAGAAAAGTACGATTAATTGAAGCCGTCTTCAGATACTGCACAGTGAGGAAGGAGCATAATATTTGGAGGCTAAATTTAAAAATCTAGAAATTGCTTTATGTATGTATTGTTAAGTTTGAAGTAGGCTGCAGAAACTGTGAAATAAATAATGTTTCATGTTTCAGTGCTCTGCTTTGGATTTACCTGCTCCAGGTGGCTGATGTCATTTGGTAATATTATAACCATGGACAAAAGTTCATCAACGTATGGTAGACAGAGGATCTGGGCAGTTTTTCCATCTGTGTGTCCCAGTTTAAATCTCCCTCTCTGATACATCATATGGACAAGTTTAGTTTCTTTCTGTTTCCAAAGACAGGAGTAGATACATGTTTAAGATATAAAACATCCTCTTACGTTAAGGACCAACATAGTACAGTTTATGGCTTTTGGAAGCTGAAAATTAAACACAGAACTAGGATTTGGTAACATGCAAATTTGGCAAGTGGCTACACTTGAAAGAAGGGATAAGTAAATAATTACAGGGTAGAAAATTTTATCTCGGTGATATGTTGTCAGTATAGAAGATTAAAATCCACACTCCATTTGCCCCCTGGGTGGGCGTGGCCAACTCAAGGTCACTCAAGTCGATGGGCGCTTCGCCTTAGTTGTTACAATGGTAATAAGGGTTAACCNAACCGCTGAACTGCAGATAACAGTCAGCTGAAGTGGCCTGCAGTACAGCACTCTAACCACTGCGCCACCTCAGCTCTCTCTCTGAACATATCTTGTCTTTTTATGTACAGTGAGAGCATCTGCACCAAAGACAAATCCCTTGTCTGTGTCCAATCACACTTGGCCAATAAAGAATTCTATTCTATTCTATTTATTTGTGCTTTCAAAAAGATAACGCTGAACGTATTACTGAATTAACTTCAGAAATGCAGTACCAAAAAAAGTGTTTGTGTGAGAGAGGAAATTAAGCAATGCACTCAAGGCGCGTTGTAACAGCCATTTTATAATCAAGTTATTGCAAAAGAAATTTGTGGCTTGGAGTAGACTTTAATAAGCTTCAAGGAAAAAAAGTTAACCCTGCTCGAGTTTCAAGGACAGCAAAGTTTCCCAAGGAAAAGCACCGTCCCTGTAGGATTGTGCAGAATGCAGAAGAGGAAGGGATGATCAGCCACAAATAACTCGTGGTGTTCTAAGCTCCTGTTAGAGACCGCGACACCTGTTGCGGCTGCCGCTTCCGTCCCTACTTCATTGATGTCTACATGGGCTTTGTGTACAACCGTGGACAAGAAGAGCTGGTGGGAAGGCGACATTCCCAAGAGGTCTGCTTTTGCTTCACTAAATACATCAATGAGGCCCAAGCCTTGCAGCATCAGGTTGAGATCGTAGCAGGCTTCTAACTTGAAGCGAGGGATATATATTTCCACAGAATGCTCCCTCAGGTTTCCTGGAGAAAGCCAGCTTGCTAAATTCTTGCAGGTCAGGGCGGCCTCCACCTGTGGAGTTTAAAGACAATTGGCAATAAGTGATGGGGCACCTGGATAGCAGACCTTGTCTTTCATGCCTTATGGGTGCAAGAAATGACAGGAGAACAGATAAAATACAAACCCGAAATCTTTCTACTAGGAAGAATCAAAGGGAAATATACAAAGAAAATTAAGTACNCGGTGAGATTAGAACCGCTGAACTGCAGATAACAGTCAGCTGAAGTGGCCTGCAGTACTGCACCCTAACCACTGCGCCACCTCGGCTCTTATACTAAATAAAGGTAGTTTTGCTTTTAACCTGTTTATTTCCTGTTCTGATCTACATTACGGGCTGGCAAGAGCATATTTGTCATTTGGAAAAAAAATGGATGTCAGAAAACACAATTCTGCTTTTTTTAAAGAAGCTGCAAATAATTCCAACTGGAAGATCAATCAGGTCATAGATTTTTGTGAGCAAGAAAATTAAAATGTAAAAGAAAGCGCAGACAGTGCGTCAGCCCATTATGAGCAATGGTTTTCTGAAAGTGTTTTTAAATAATCTATGCATGGACACCCTTTATTGTGACATTGTCTTGGCAAAGAAACATGGCTGCCAAGGTTTGAAATGGGTTCAGGCAAGACAGCAAATTTTGCAGTTGTGCATAGAATTGCTTGCCAACCTTTTTTTTTTTAAAATTGTTGAAGACACTTCAACAATTCATAAGAGTTCAGAAAGCAATTGTTCTTCAAAGAAATCAGATATTGGTTTTGTTTATTCCAAGTGTGAATTCATGCACTATTACACTTGTATAATAATGTAATAATGGTGGTTCAGTGCAGTGGTGGGATTCAAATAATTTAATTTCAAACTAATTTGTTTAGTTTGTTCCTTCGGAAGAACTTGATGTATTTAAGGTGTAGAAACCTTGAAATTTTCCTCTATGGTTTAAAGCTATTTCTATTACACTTCAGGACCAGAAGGTTGCAGGGAAAAATATTTCTGTTCTGCATTTTGTATGTTATTTGCTGAGGCTCGGCATGAAAAGGGATTCCTTGCTCAGAGCAAATAAAATTCTTCTAGACCGGAGTTACTGAACCTTGTCAACTATCAGGTGTAAAGACTTCAATACCCAGAATTCCTCAGCCACAATGTCACCTGTTCTAGACTGCCACCAGGTCAGGTGACCTCTGAATATATTGACCAATACCCTGTATACTTCCCAGGCAGCATTTCTCAACATTTGTGGAGACAGGGAGTCCAACGTATTTTGAGCTTTTAGGATTGGAGAAGACTGTCCTAGGTGCTGTAACGTTACTCACAATTTTTGCATACCGTGTTCCTTGTATATAGAGAGCCGAGGTGGCACAGTGGTTAAATGCAGCACTGCAGGCTACTTCAGCTGACTGCAGTTCGGCTGTTCAAATCTCACCGGCTCAGGATTGACTNTTATTTATTTATTTATTTATTTATTTATTTATTTATTTATTTATTTATTTATTTATTTAAAAAATTACTCTCTGCTTTGGGAATACATTTTATTCAGCAAGACTGGAACATGGAAAATGCCGTCTACATCATCATCTGAAGTCAGGAATGCAGATCCCCAAGAGTGGGGCATGCATGGTAAATCCTCCATAACAGTATCAGTAGTATGTTTGCCAATCCTGGTAATATTCTGGCACGTAAGTGTGGGAAAAAGTTGGCATCGGGTACCTTAGATTTAGACCTTTTGTTCAGTAAAGGGGATACTAAATGAGAAGTGAAGGGTTCTATGGTATATCACATTGCAATTAAAACTCCCATTACAAACAATGGTTTGTATAGTTCAAAGCCAAAGAACTATGTGGGAGGAACACATTGTTTAAATCAACCCTTCTAAATTTGAACAGTTTTGTAAGTAACAGATGGTTCACTACACTTTATCTTGAGGGATTTTTTATTTTTATTTTTAGGCCCTGTTTGGGAGACAGAAGATAAGAATGTAGTATCAACAAACGTTCTATTCCTTTCTCCTTAGTCGGTTTTGCAGTTAAGTGTATTAAATCCATCAATAACACCTTACTGTTAATTTTCACAAATAGCACTAAATTAAACTGCTCTTCAACCCCACAACCCACAGAAATGATGATGCAGTCCTGTCTTCATAGACTTCCTAAAGGCTAGCAAGATTGGGGCCAATCCAACCTCAAGGAGAGATGAGAACGGATGCTATGGGACAGTGACGTGCGGTGAGGGATACCGTTGGTGAGGCAAGAGCGCGGCAGCGGTGAGAAGCAATGTCCCTGCCGCTGTGTCCGACAGGCGTCTCTCGTTTATGATGGACATAAACGCGAGATGCCTGTTGGACACAGCAGCGGGGGTGTTGCTTCTCACTGCTGCCGCACTCTGCCACCTCGCCCCCCACCTCCTCCATCCCCGCTGACATTCTTGGGAGCAGGTCGGGTGGCTGGCTGGCTGGGAGGAGAAGAGTGGTTTGTCTTTGTG